ATTATACCTCTTTATGTACAAATGGTACTTCCTCTTGGGTGTTTGTGCTTACGTAGGCCTGCACTCTCACCGCGCGTTTAGCGTTAAGAATCAATTTTAGCCGATAACGCTAAATCGTGTCAAATTTTATGCCTCACTTCCATCAACCTGCTCTTTTCAGCTAAATTTCTTGTATGGTTCATATTGTGCAAGAAATTCAACTAAAATGAACAGACCTCATAATATATTACGAAAATGTCGAGAAAGAATTTCGATAAGCTTTGACGCGATCGGTGCCAAAATCAGTGGCGCAACGGACCTTAAATATGCTTTTTTTATGTTATTAAAAAAAAAAAGACTTGCGAGAAGCAAAATAAAGGAAAACATAGCGCTAAACGCACGATGAGCTATTGTTCTTAAATTTACAATACATCTTGTCCGCTTCTAACTTGTGCAGATCTTTCGCGGCGATTGTTTGACAGAACGGCGATGATCGAACTTTGCCTTTTCCATTGTATCAAAATATATCAAAACGCGAAACTAGAACAACCGATGGGGTTTCCTATTTTCTCAAGTTGCAGAGCAACATCGGTTGTCGTAGTTTCGATATACGGATATTATTCTGCGCAACAATAAAAATCTGCGGGATGCATTAAAACTTTCCTGAATGTATTTAGGTATACAGGATGTCTAGTAATGACTGCATAATCTCTCGACAGCAGGTAGAGCGGATTAAACTGAAGTCGAAAACTCCTCTACTGCAATGTTCGCAATTTTTTTTTTAGTTACTCAATGAGCAGAATCGTCTAAAGTCGAAGCATAAGACAACTTAAAAATATCTTTAATAGGCTTTCTACAATAAGTCATTATATCTAAGCTTTAAGTCTTAAACAAATTTAAGTAAAGAAAAACACAAAATTTATAGACTCCTTAAATTAATACAATCAAAAAATAACGGCAAAATACAAATGAGCGTTAGGAGTCAGCACTGAGTATTATATTGCGCAATGCTAACTAATATTAATGTGTCACGAATTCAATTTTGTATGTTTCGGCTCACTATTTGAACCATCCTCAACAATAAAAAATTACCGCTTATCGCAATTCGCACAATAAAATCTGTCGAACTACGTCTCGCACAATCGTAGTTCCAATAATGCAGTCACAGTGGAAATGTGGTGAGAAAGAACCATCTTCAATATAGTCTAATGTTGTGCCAACCAGTTGCTTAGCTGAGTGGAGTGATAATGGAGCTCAAGCTAATAATTGCAACGAGATATTTTTGAATAGATGGATATTAATTTGCGTAATTAATGTATGCTCGCCAGAACTCACCCTATCTCCAACAACGATCACAAGCGGATCCAAGCATCGTCAATCCATTACAACAAATTTAAAAATCACGATGTCAAAGTTAGATTAAAAAATAATTTAAGTAACATAAAAGAGTCATGTTCGTTCTGATGTTAGTCACATAATACCCGTTAAATACAAAAAGAGATGTGTCGCGCGAACAAAGCATATCGGTCAATGATAAAAATAAACATATTATAACTTATTGATAATTTCTATATATCCATGATTTTAAGCCTTAAGCTATGAGAAATTGACCAATTACAGTTGAATGTGAGAAGAATAATTGAATGATCGATCAATTTCTTACGGCTTAAGACTTAGGCTAATTCTATAATGTGCTTTTTGTTTCCTGTTTCTTGCTGTTTGTCTCTGTTTGTCTCTTGCCTTTTTGATCAAGAAGGCAAGAATTAGCCTTAAATTAACCTTAGGTAATGACTTATTGTAAAAAGAAACTAAAAAAAATTGCGAAAATTGCAAAATAATAGAGGACTTTTCAACTTAGTTTAGTCCGCTCTACCTGCTCACGAGAGATTATGCGGTCATTACCGGACACCTTGTATACCAAATGTTCGTGAATTAGGGATACACCCGGGAAAAGAGTAATGCTATATAAAAAAAATGTCAAAAACGTAAAAAAAAATTTTCACAGAAAGCTTTGTTTTCGAGAAAAAGAATTGATAGGGAGCGAGGAGCAACTACGCGCTTCTCTCGAGTAATCGACTCATGACTTGTGATTCCGAGTTCTTTCTTCGAAAACAAAGCCTCGTTCAGACAAATTTTATTCTACGTTTTCGATATTTTTTCATATAGAATCACTATCTTCCCGGTTATATTATCAGTTCACAAATTATTTTGTATAAGGAGATCCTAAAATGACAGAATTATCAACATTACTAGTCAAAAATTTTTCAAATTAACTATGCAGATTGCAAATCCTTTTCACAATTAAAATATTCACAGAAAAGATGGTCGATCTAACAAGAAGACCGAAAAAATTAAAAAGTTACAGTGCTAAATATATCCAATTTTTGAGTCAACTTCCGAAAACGTCTAACGCCCGATTATCATGAATTTTGGTAGAAGTACTGTAAATGACATCAAATGAATGCTCTTGATTGGATTTTCACCGACAAGAAAGTTTAATGCTAAAAATGTTTGAATGAAGTTATGGAAGTTTGTGCTTATTATAGTAAATATCGACAATAACGGAAGCAGCTCCGATGCTCTTAATCTTAACATATGTTTAGCATTGATTTAGAAGATATAGTAAATTAAAGTTCCATAATATGTAGAGGATAAGTTTGAAAAATAATGTTTCTTTTACTATATAGAACAAAAATTTTCTGCTTTAAAAAAATATTTTACTGTCCATGCAAAGCGACTTTCACCCTCCTCCCCTCCTGCTTAAGGGGCGCACAACTTCCATAATTGTACTGTTGCATATGGATTTATAACGATAAATATTTTCCTTCTATATACGCATCCTCTTCATTCAACTCCTATATACTGCGATAAACATGTAGTATACTGAAAAAATTATATATATATAATAAGCGCAAACTTCTATAACTTCATTGAAACATTTTTGGCATTAAACTTTCTTGTCGGTGAAAATCCATTCAAGGGCATTCATTTGACGTCATTTGGACGTTTTCGGAAGTTTATCCCAATTTTTTAATTTTTTTCAATTTTTTCGTTAAAAATTTAACCAATTCGGAGTTAACTATCCAACCTGTAAAATCGGTAACTTCGTCACTTTAGAATCTCTATAAGCTGATTTTCTTAAAATTACGGAACATAAATTACTAAAACGCTTTGCCTCTTTCTCTCTTATATGAAATATTTAGAAGTTATCTCAATAAAATATATATAGCAATCACGAAGAGAAAATACAAGATGCATTCTGAGAATATCTTGGGCCCTATAGTGAAAATACATGTGGCGACAGTTACGTTGAGTCTGAAAAATATTTTCCAAGATACCTCTTTTACATGTAATATCTCAAGGATATTATACATGATTTCTCAACACGATGAGATCCCGCGGATTTTCCTTCGCCGTGCGGAATTAACATCGATTTGCCCTACGATGGCCTGCGTATAGTAAAAATAAAACACGTGTGCCTCGAACGCCACGCGCATTCGTTAATAAATTAATATTCATTCGCCGCTTTAGCAAACAGCGCCGAAATACGCGGTTCTAAAGCGCTACAAAACGAGAACGCCTGAACGCTTTTGCCTCGGTGATTATGCAATATGTAAAATAGATCATTTGTGTTTGCTTATTCCGCGGGGAGAGAACGCTCTAGTAACGTTACATTGCGACATGCGAATGTACGGTCATCGTCGGGAAACGCTCGCTGTCCGTTCACACGGGATATATTTCATTGTTATATATGGCACTGGATATCAGCGTGATATTGCCTGTAGTATTATCCTCGCGTAAATGCATCTCGTACTTGGTACAAAAAAACCGAGGATCTTCTAGTCTTCTTGCATGTTTAAAAATGCGATCTCACGATGGGCGTACACTTCGACAGTATCGAGAGAAGAACGCCTTTCTCTTTCCACTCCTCTTTTTCAGTTAGTTCAGTTCTTTTTCTCACACTATCGTCGGTAACTTAAAGAATGTTTGTCGCCCAATTTCCTGAAGCGCACAACTCTGGTAGTCCGCGTCTTATATATTTATGTAACTATTATCTTTTCTTGTAAACAAAGGCCACGCAAATGCAAAAACCTACTGCAAATACTAAGAGTACACGTAAAGAATATATCCCTCGAATGTGTCTCGACGAATTAAACGACATTTCGCGGACAAAAGTTCGTTGGTTCTGTCATTAATTATTATTCGACTGATACCAAATAGCCGTTTAAAACGCGAGACAAGGGAATCGACATTCGATCATTAACGAGCGTTTGCTGAACTCTGTTTTAGCGCATCACTGTAAAAACTGATTATCTGGACGTATTCCTATCAACGCGCGTCAATACGAATTTTTCAAACGGACATTTCCTGAAACTATGCTCTTCGTTTAATTCTTAAAACTAGTTACTAACACTTAGGCCTCACTAAGACAATTCGGCCTGCTGTTATGAGATCGACATTAGGGGAATGAATGTCCCGTTTGCGCTTTATCTCATCGCGGGAGACACTCGCATGAATCGGATCGCGATCTGCGATATAACAAAGACAAAACTAAAGAATATATGTAAAAATATATCAATATGCGATATTTACTAATCGTTTGTCAACAAGAACTATCGCGCAATTTAAGTCATGGTAACAATTTACAACGAAAAAAGTAATAAGTTGAAATCGACTAAGAAATATTCAATACAAATAAGCGAAGACCACATTCTTATTAAATTTAATAAATTCTTATTAAATTGTTTGTCAATTTAATTTGTGAAATTACATACTCCAGCTAAAGTTTAGGACCGACAAATAATCGGCGCACAGTTTACTGGCAATTGTAAGATCCACAAAATATTACTAAGCATCAACATCCACTTTGACCGAATATGGCCTTCTTTGCTTATTTGTATTAAAAAAAAGATGTTTTTTTCAAAATAGAATTTAAATAATTGTAGTCCATTCATTTGAACAACTCGAACAAATTTGAAGTTAATGAAATTTTGTACTATTAAAGTATTATTAATTCGTTATGTATATAATATCAGTCTGTTAAATAAAAGATATCTTAATATAAACTTTCCGATTTGGATCAATGTTGAATCAGATCAGTGGCTGATCACAGAATCGCGTATTGTCGCATCACCACATTCAATGTATATAGAGAGCGCCAATTTTTTGATTCGATATAGTTTCTTTACAAGAGTGTCACGCGTGTTAATTGATCATTGTCTAAAAACATAGAATATGGCAGTTTGACATTAAAACGGAATTATCAAGTTTTCCACAAAGAACTGATGTCATATCGACCTCGATATTAACTGGATGGACAAATGACAAAAAACATTTCAAAAATTTCTTTTTGAAAATTATATAAAAGCAGGACTAATGACGTCTAACCCGCTGACTGCCATGCTCGCGCATGTATCTTACAACATATTTTCTGAGACAAAAGAATGTAATTAGTGTGCAAAGAGTATTAGCGACAATTCGCTAATTTTGCTTCCAACTAAGTAAGCGATTTTACAATAAAAGCGAAAGTAGGCTTTATACATACATTGCATAGAATGGCAGTGAACGCGTCGAGATACTTTTAAAAGTTTTAAGAGAGATGTCTCTGGTACTCTCTTTTTTTCCGTAGCTACGCTACATCCGTTTTAGCACAAGCTCTCCATTCGATTGCAAGATGGAAACAACAAATTCTAAATCAATATTCTATCCTACAGTCGATATTCTCGTGCGAGATTTCAGCCTCTTTTTTTTATATCGTGCATACATTAAATAGAACTAAGAATCCAAGTTTCCTTAAATGCGGGTTTCAAATACGGCCTTATAGCAAGGATCGGTATGTAAACATCGGTTAAATTGGAAATATCACGATCCACGTAATCGTACTACATTCTAAGCAATTCCAAAAACAATGTGTACGGTCTTCCACATACATTTTTTTTTTTTTCTTTTAGTGTCTCTTAATGGTTCCATTTTAAATTATATTATTATGTAATCTTTTAGGTTTTGTCATTTCTCTTACAATGCTTAAATGTTAAGTTGAGAAAATAATTTTTTTTTGTTTATATAACAAGCAAAATGTTCAACTCTTTTCTTCATAAATATTCAATTTTCCATAAGTCTTCTTTACGGGGCTCAATGGTTCCAGCAGAAACACTTAATTCCCACGTAAGTTTTATTTTATTTTTTTTTTTATTTTAGGTTCGTTCTTTCTCCCATTAGCGCGCGCGAAATGCATGATTCACTATTTACTCGAAAAAAAGTACTTTTCACTGGGTCCAGAACCATTGTACGTTAATTGTTATTTATTGTATTACGTCGAATGCTGAGCATGTTGTAACGCTAAGAGCATCCGTGGGAATATCATCGGCTAGAAAGCACAAAGAATACTCTCTAATGTTCTTCAAAACGTTTTATAGTACGCTGAAACGTTTCTAGCTTGCTTTGGTTTCTTTCCAGTCAATATCTCGACGTCACGCATACGAGAATCGTTGCCGATTACAATCAGCGATCTTTTCCTCAAGTAACGGCCTCTGTTCGTTTTGTGTTCCTTTCTTCACGTTATTAAGCGAGGACTGTGCAAACCTTCTACCTGAGTATCGATTTGAGGACAATGTTGTGTATCAGGCGGTCCCCAATCGTGCAAATTTCCACTGTTAGCTAATCTGTGCGTAAGTCGATGTGCTATTGAGAAACCTCCGCTACCTTCCAACTGTGTTAGAACTATGATAACTTGTCTGAAATAAATATATCAATTTAAAATTTGTTTATGCTGACCAGAAACAAAGTTTAATTGTATCTTACCTGTGAAGGGGAGGAACACTATCGGCAGTTCTGAGTTGTCCTCTCGTGGACACGACGTTATAGCTTTCATGGCAGTCGCATTTTACATGAATCCACTTATTTACATGACGATTTTCAACCATTACCACTAATCCGGCCCATCCTTTAGTTAAATAATATGCAGTCATGCCTTCTCTGCCCTGTTAGAGTTAAATATTTATATTGTTAGAGGTTTATGTAAATTTTATATCAATATAAATTTAGATGTCAATATAAATTTAGATGTCAGTATAAATTTTAGAGATAACTGCTTTACGAATTATTCAAAATACGAGGTAATGACTTACTTCGTGCCGTTGTCCTTTAGCCAATGTTAGACTTATGATAGCATCGGCTAAAACAAAAGCAGGTGGTGATATTTGCTCAACGAGAAGTCTCTTTGAGCTGTGTATAGCGAGAACGTATTCCGGATAACTAGATGTATCTTCCATTCCGGTGTGCCAATGATTAAAGGCTAGGCATACAACGATATACAAATCTCTCTCCAACATCTTGTGACAGCCGACAAAACCGCGTACTTGCCGTTTGCTATGTTCCACTAATCTACCAACTTCCGGAGCAGCCGGAGATCTCGTGCGAAAAACTACCACGCATAAGTCCAATTGAGATCGCTGCGATTTTTCTGAATTTCTAGAAAATAATATAGTTATTAATATACTACATAATATGTTCATGTGTGCGAATCAGTTTAATCATCTCACCTTTGACCCTCTTGGAACAGTGTAAATTCCGTTTCGGTGGGTTCTAATACCGTCAAAAGGACGCACGATAAATGTCTGAGGGACGACAACGGAGGGAGAGTGCCGCGCAATCTCACTTCACTCCATCCGACTCTCGTCTTACAGATGTCAATGCAATCGAAATATTTTAAAACGTCGTCAAAGGATATCCAAAAGACGCCATCTGAAGCACCGTGCGGCATAAGCATCTCTCGTAATTGCGGAGTCCATATAGGGCTGTCGTCTGACCAATCCCCTTTCCAACTATAATGACCCCAAGGATTGCGTAGTCGTAATAACCGTATTCCCTGCGTAATAATTACGTGACAGGTATACTTGTTTCAAGTCAGATCAAATAAAGTGTCAAGCCAAGTGTGTACATCTCTAACACTTACTTGTACATCACGGACATCGAGGACAGAATATGCATGTCTGAAATAGACGTTTTAAGAACAATCAATTAAAAAAAAAATGAAAGAAACGAAAATCGAATTTAGATACCGTGAAATAATTAAGTTTTTAATTTACCTTGGCCTTAATCCTTTGCGCTGATATTCCTCCTCGTCAACTTTCATATTACCGCCTCCACAACTAGCACCCATTAAAAACATAGCCTGCCTCGAGGACAAGAGTTGTGCCCATATTAGGTCCCTATCGAGTTCGTCTTCGCTTGGCAATGCTGAAGGTTGTAAAGGCACGCTCTCACACGGGGCACCAGTTAATGTCGCTAGACCTTCTATAGCACGGCCGGATACTAAGGCCTCGTAACAGCCATGTATTTTAGCAACTGCTTTTTCAATTAGCGGTACCCAAAGCTGTTTTCTTTTTGCCTTCAATATAAGACGTATATGTTACTAATAATACATATGTGTCTAGATATAATAAATAGTATAACGTATCTTTGTGTAGCATACAGACATATACCTGAGAGTACACTAAGTGGCCTCTCTTATCACAGGGTAATAGATCATCAACGAGTACCGTCGTCCATTTTCCATCTTTACATAATCTAACTTGGTAAGCACCTTCGGGACATGTCTCTTTCATGACCAAAACTCTTCTCACGAGCTCGTCACTCTCGGCCAAAACAGCCAAAGCCGACAATAACCAACAATTTCCTAAGACACCTTGCGAGATATCAGAAGGTAAGGGTGTCCTAAAGACAGCCCAAGGCAGTTTAGAATCGACACTTGAATCCACGTTAATTTGATGTGGTCTTCTCCACTGAACGACGTGATTATCTTTCGTATCCGTGGGATTATAGTACAGGGATTTCGGAGCAGGCGGGAACGAATCATCGACGAATGGTTCGTTTGTCTATAAGATAAATGAACGAACTGTTAAATCTCATTAATAATTTAGCATTACATATACCTACAATATGGTCTAGATTTATGCTTTTTACCTCCTTGCAATATCGTACAATACGCTCCCACTTCTCCAGCGCGTCTCTTTCCTCCAACTGTCTAAGATTTTCCATCACTACACTCTCTTGCCTCTGTATTCTAAGAGTACTAGTGCCCGACTCGAGAAGCCTAGGTATCCCTCTATCTCCAGATACTTGGGATAACGACTTCGAGCTTTGGCACATTTCGCAAATAGCAGTTGTACTCTTGTTTTCATATGTGCACAGTTTACATTGCCACTAAGCGTGCGAAAAAAAAACCGTTAGAGATAAAAATTTTTTAATTTGCTTTGCAAACGGCAAAGTAAAAAATGAAAAAACAAAAGTAGAGCGAATTAAAAATTGAGGCAAGAGCGATCCAAGCAAGAATTATTACGCTCTCACCAATAATTAATTTTTAAGAATTTCATGAAAAAGATACAAATACTAACTTGAATATATGAAGGATCTCTAGTCCTCGAGTGCCTTTTATCACCAGCTGCTGACGAACCGTTTCTTCTTACAGAATTTCTATGTCTCGGAGTAACCGCTTTGGAATTCGTCGGGGTTGAACAGAGTCTCGGGCTTGGACTCCGTTGGCCAAAAGCTCTATTGTCTTTCGGGACCTCTAGAAAGTCTGCTAACGTCTTGCAGGCGTTGCAGTTTTGCGCAGAAAGTGGATTCCTCAACGTGCACGAAGGGCACACCCAACTCTCGCCCTTTCGTAGAGTGGCATCTTCTAAATGCATAATGCTTTTCAGCTTTGAACCACAGCAAGCCTCACACGTTGTTCTCGACGCGGCGTTCAATAGAGTGCACTTTTTGCACGTCCACACCGGTGACGGTGGATCGATTTGATCATCCAGATCGGATTCCGCCGTAGCCAGAGTGGCCGCTTTCGGTGGTATGTATCTTACGCTATCCCTTGATACCACGATCGGAGATTGTGCATGCGTCGGATAGCTACTCGTGTCCTTTGTGACAGTTATCAAACTAGGCTGCGTTAACGACGGGGGTGATCTAGACGAACCGCAAATATCGCAACCACTGGACCACAGCGGGTTATACGCATAAGAACATTTTCTGCAGGTCCACATGCGCTTTAACGGGCTCACGTTCGATACTTCTCCCACCGGACTGGTTGCCTCGCTATGCGCCTTCGTCGGTACCAGGCCTAACTTACTGCTCTGTTTCTTTGGCAATGGGGGCGGTATGTCGGGATCCGTAATCCCGATGTAGGAATACTTTGGTCTCGAGTTGAAGCCAATGGAATGAGGCGGCACGGCGGGCGGTTCCTCGTCGTTCAAACTTCTACGGTTAACAGTCTTCTTCTGCGTCACATTCGTGACCGAGTCGGCATCCGAGAAGGATCTCCTGTAAGACAGGGGCCCGGCAGACGATAATGCGCGTGGCACCCAAGCCGGCACACTGATAACCACTCCGCTGCAAGGCGCAGGACTCCTAGGAGCGTCGCACGCCTCGCATTGCTCCAAACCGGGCGCATTGTCCAGGGTGCAATTGTCACAGCTCCATAAACCATCATCCTGGCGTGCTTCCGGTACCACTAGGCTCGTAGGTCGTTGTACCATGTGTTCCGATAATTTTTGAACAACAGAACCGTTCGACAGCGAACGACTGACTTTAGACTTAACCCGCTCATACATAGAAGGACTATGTCGTTTTGGAGAACGTTGAGAGGTATCGCTATTATCTGTGAACGGAAGCGTAGTAGACTCCATTGTTCCAATTGACGGCAAGATCCAATCTTTATGGTGCCCTCTTCCTCTGTCGCTTCGACTTATGCTTGTCAACTGTGCCATCCCTGGAAAATTTTCAAGCAACAAATTTCAATGATTTGGAATATTTTATTAACAATTTCTATAATGATCGTTTTACGTGACACTCACCTGTATTATTAATTTTAACATTGTTACCGGAGCCACTCTTGCTAACACTCCCATCTAGGACATTGGCCAAAAGTCCAGATGTGATTTTAAGACGATTCTCTTTATGTAGATTAATCTTTTTACTCTTGCGTGCGCCAATCTGCTTTCCGTCGTTTTGAGCTATTGACGCACTAGCATCGCAAGCCGCGCAGATCAATGAGCTGCAATTATTGTCCAATAGACATCGAATACAAGTCCACTGTGTGGCTAAAGAAGGTAAGGATGAAAAACGCTTCAGCGGTTTCCTATCGGATGAGTTACCACTCAACGAACAACAATGAGAATTCTTCCTTATGTCAGCTGCAGACAAGTGTCTCTCAAAACTGCAATTTTATAGGAACACATACTAGTAAGAATATACAGAATGTTTATTCTCAATGAAGAGAAAATTTATATTTCAGAATAAGAAAATATTCTTTGAAAATTGTTTCTAAATTATTTGACATCTGAAAAAAAATTAATAAAAAAATTTCAATCAATGTTTATTGCAAACTGCATTTTCACAAGTAGTATCAGCTGTTAATGTAGCATTAATTTAAGTCTGCAATCTATTTTAAATTTGAAATTTCTTCAAGATAGATATACTCAATATAAAAGGAAAGTTTGATTTAAACTCAAGTACTAATTCAATTTTTTTAATCGACGTAAACATGACACAAGGGAATCAATATCATACTTTGCGATAAAAGTACGGTATCTTGACAAACAACTCGTGGGTACTCATATCGAGCGATAGGATTGTCTCGGAGCACACGCAAAAAAAAAAAAATACATGGGGAAGATAAGGAGGACGAAATGATAATCCTTACCCTTGAGAAACGATGATGGGTCGGGACTGGTCAACGGATAGCGTCTCTGTCAAATTACGCGCTACCAATCGGTCTGCCCTCGGCGGTGGCGTCGGCGGCGTCGATTCCCCGGAGGAGGTCTCCCTCCTCGCGGGACACTCTTCGTCCTCGCGTCTCCTCGTCGAGCGTCCCGCGCGATCCCCCGCGTGCGCCTCTTTTCCTCCCCCCTGACTCGCGTTGCCGCTATGCTCCGCCGCGGTTACGCTCGTGGCATGGTCCTGCCTGCGATCGAGGCTGGCCCTCTCGTCGCTCCTGAGTCGCGTCAGCCCGCACCTGGCGCATCTCGCACTCTCCGTCGGATTTATCAGGGCGCACTCCGAGCAATGCCACTGCAGCACCGACGCGATCGAGCCCATTCTCCACGCGTAGTCATGGCTCCCCCGCTGCGCCGCTCTATATCACCACTGTCGCGACCACGGACACGACGACGTCGACGACGGCGTCAACGGCGGCGGGCTAAGACGGAGGGGGGCGGGGGCGGGGGGGGGGGGGGGGGGGG